TAAGAAGATAGCTTGAAGAATAAAAATATTTAGGTGAATAAAAGGTCTAGAAATGGGCGAATAGATACACAGAAAGCAGTTAGATAAACATAAATTAATAAGGAACCAATGAGTTTGATGTGAGACAAAAGAAAATGGAAAGAATACATAAATAAATATAGGTCCAAAATGTTTTAGGTGAGCATAAATTAATAATGTATGGTGTAGATTAAATAATCAAATAATAAAAGTAATTAATAATGTAGATAAATTTAATGTAAACGCTACTATAATGACGTTTTAAAGTAGCCCTTAATGTAAGTTAAATTGTAATGTTTCCTCTTGGGTGTCTTGGAAACTCGGAAAATTCATGTAAATTTTGTAAAAGAGGTTGAATCGAATCGAAATAGTAAAAGTAGATTAATTCATAATTGAAATGCTCGGAAAATTTGTTGTGGTACAAGGTATGGTAGGAATGGTTTTAGGGTTATAATAATTATAATTATTCAACTTGATGATGGTGGAAATGGCGTTTGAGAATCAGTAGAAGAAATTATTATGATAGAATTTGTGTTAGAAAACATGAGAATTTTTTTTAAACATGGATGTGTTTTGTATGAACGTTCAGTTAGATCAGTTTAATCCAGTTTGCGTGTTATTTATTGTGCCCAATCGCGTTTCGGCTTTGCGCCAGATCCTCACTGAAGATGGTATAAAGCCGAAACGTGACTAAAATCAAAAACCCACGAGTTTAGACGGATCCAGTGTGTGACCCAATGCCGGTTCGACGAGTCGCGGACCAATACTCAACATCAACACCTTGTTGATGTATTTAAAAACCATGAAAAAGGTTTTCTAGAATATTGACGATTTAATAATCGCATATAGATTAGTTAGCTGTTAGTCTCCTTCAAAAACTTAACAATCCATCTGAATTGATATATTGTAATTCATAAGGATTAGATTAAAGTTGAAATCTCAATGAATAAAGTTTGTTGGAATCTATGTAATTTATTGTTGAAACGACCTGAAAATAAAGTTGGCCAATTTTGTCAGGTTTTACGAATTAAGTTTAGAAAAATTAGTTTATTGTAATAGACCTAGCCTCACATGGATTATATTGCAGTAAAATTTAAAGCATGAATGTTCTCAATGAATCAAAGTTAGATGAAAATTGTTTTAGAATCCATGAGGTTGAATTTAATGTTACATATCCACAACTTGGCAAAATCCACATGGATAGTTTTATAACTAAGTTCCACTTAATCATTATTGTAGTCCTGTTATAATAAATCTTTATAGAGTTTATAATGAAATTACCTCTAATCTCTTTCTTTTTATCTACACAGATTAGCACGATGTTAACAGTTACGTTTATCAAAATCCACGTTAATTCTTTGGATTTTGTGTTGTTAAGATTACTTTATGTAATGAAAATCTAGTTGTCTAATTAAAGTTTTGTTTAAATCCAGGAAATTTGGTATATGATTGAATTGTCCACAAAGTAATCATAGTTTTATCAAGGCTTGAAAATTCACGAATAAATGTACGTGCTTACAATTCTTAATGTACATCTGAATTTTGCAAGTGTATGCAGATAGGATTACAAATGTCATGTGTGATGTAATTTATGTGCAATCGAGCATACAGAAAATTAGGTTGCTATTAGTGGAAAGTAAATAATATATAATTAGGAATACCCACAACCAATGGGTTTTTTCTATCATAAAAATTTATTTTTTTCTGTTCACTATTTGGCCAGCTATTTTTATTTCCCCGTTCTTTAAGATGAACGTTGGTAATCAATCATTTCACCTTAATGATTGTAAAAAAATTGTTTTTTGTCTTTCTGATTAATTAAACGGAGAATTATAAATAAATTATTTTTAATAGGTCAGTGTGCTTTTGTCAATCATGGCTTATTTGGAAGCGATTTCCCTTTTTGGAAGTTAAAATATTTTGTTTTATTACTCATATCTCTTTGTCTTTATATAGCTTTATCGAGTGTAAACAAAATTTGTTCGTTGGTGGCTGTTGTGTTTACCTATTTGGCACAACGGAACTTTCTGGTGAGTCAAGTATCTGAAATAACACTAACTGCCTACTGCCAACGAGGAACGAGCCAAAAAGATGAAACGGTCGCGTCATAATTTTCATTTTAGGAAATTTCTTTTTCATGGTGCTAAGACGGGTTTTCTTTTTGTTCGACAATTGTTATTTTTATTTTTATTTTATTGTTAGTACAATAAAAAAAACATTCACTTCGTTTTTTAGTTTTGTTTAACTACAATTTTCTCAGTTCGTTAAAATCCGGTTTCCTGTTGATATGATAAACATCTCAGAAAATTAGGGGGGCACAGAATGATCGTTTTACCAATTTTAGTGTAAGAAATGAGTAGTTTTGCATTGAAGGAACCAATCGTCGGCTATTAAAGTAAAATTTGAGAATTACAAAATAGTAAAAAAATAGAAACTTTTGAACATTTTTACCGATTAAATTGTGAAATTAAGGCTAAATCATTCGAGAAAGAGGAAGAAAGTGAAAGTGAGCATATGAGATAATAAGCTAGTGAGTGTGAGAGAGTGAGTTATAAAGAAGGAAGAGAGATATAAAATGGAGAAATCAGGAAAGAAGACTTAATAAAAGTAAATAAATGAGCATGAGCAATACAACATAAACCGAAAACATATCGAAGTAAACATAAAAAGCGTTGATAATTGCAAGTTTCATTCAACTTAGACATTGCAGCTTATTAAAAATTTAATTTTTTTTTTTTTTTTTGGAAATGTAACTTTGTTGGCGAGGATTATACCAAATCTTTAGTTTAAGGACGATCCCACAACTATGTTTCATTTGAAAAACGGCCCAGACTAGTCCTTTTCGGTATTTTCTCTAATTTTAAAGTAATCTCTGTAAAAGATTAAGCGTGCTGTAAACGAACCCCCAACAAAATCTAACCGTAAAAAAGGGCCTAGTTCCAGAACTCCTCCAAAAATATTAGACTGAGGATTAAAACATCAGGATCGTGTGTGCTCACGTAGGAGAGGTGGGTGAGGAGAAGGTAGAGAACTCGGAAGAAAAGGAAAAAAGTTTCACTCTACTTTCAGCTCCTTGCTTTATCCCAAATACGATAATTCAGAAACTGGCCAAATTTTAAGCCAAAAAGAACGGTGATGTTCCTAAAAGTAGGAGTGAAGTGAGGCAGGCCACAGTGTACCTGTGTACGTATCACTACGTTTATCGGCTGACTTTTTTAGAAGGGAGTCTGGAACTTTTATATTTTTTTATGGTTTCTCTTTAAAAAAACGGACTTGGCCAAGTATAGATATCATTACACTGATAGGATATGTGTGGGGTTTAGTGTCCTTTAGTTAATGATTATTTGGAGATCGGGAGATGCGGTCTGGTGTGACGTATGTTTTGAAAAACATTTTCTTTATCGTTCTACGTTTCGATCTTTATTGAGATCATCTTGAGGGCCTGGGATTTATAAGTATTGTATAATTTAAACAATGTTTATAAATCACATGCCCTGAAGATGATCTCAATAAAGATCGAACGTTGGCACGACAAAGAAAATGTTTTTCTAAACCTGTGGCACAACAGACCGCATCTTACGATATCCCAATAATCATTGATAGGATAATGTTTTAGGGTTCTGGACTTGACTCTTTTTTCACGTTTAAGTTTTGTTTTGGGATATCATACTTTTTGTTCGCTTCAGCATCGTAAACTCGTAAAGTTTTTTGTTTGTTTTTTCCCCCCGAGGCTCAGGAGTGATTATGTATATCATAGATTTTCCCTTGTTGGGGGGATCATTTGGGCCTCTGTTGAGGAGTTGAGAGGTTGTCAACACCATGCACAGATACCTAAATACGATATTTCATTTTCCGGCTTCGAGATTTTGTAGTTATAACGGACGCAAGTTTGGCCTATAAATGATCGTAGACGGTTGTATTCAGCATTCGCACTATTCTTGGCCTTCACCTGAGAGGGATCAAAGTTAATCAGATCAACTTCCTGGGGACTTGTCATCTTGGACAGAGCACGTACACTTGGCCACGCGAAAATATTGAATAGCCAACGTAAAGCAGCTAATAAAGCATTTGACAAACTTAATGATTGACTTCTATGAATGGTAATGGCGTAAGCCAAGCAAATGGGAAATTGATGCCGGTGAACGTAAGATCGATTGATGACTTCAAACTTGGTCGGAATCCGTTAAGCGGAAGTTATACGCTAAGCCACCAAGCGAGAATTTTATCTTGTATAACGGAGCGGTCGTCAATGACCTGCTCAATAGTGCCAATGGATCCGTTGATCAGGCCTAAACTGAAGGCTTCTTAAGAATTTAGATGAAGAGTCTATGTGTTCAAATTTTTACGATGTCCTAAGCGACATAAGCTTGATTTATTTAAGAAAAGCCGGGTGAATCGGTTCGAGTAAAGATACACATGGCAACATGCTGGAACTTGGCCAGCGCACGGCCTGCGCTCAGATCCAAGACTATGAGCCATGGGAGAAAATTGGACGAACCAAAATAACTTGCTGGATTTTAGACGATTTGCGTGAGAACGATTTTGAAAATGTCACATTTCCTCTCCTATTTTCTTTTAATCTCTCTTTAAGTCCAGAATGAAATAGAAACGGCTAATCGCGCTCTCTCTCTCTCTCTCTCTCTCTCTCTCTCTCTCTCTCTCTCTCTCTCTCTCTCTCTCTCTCTCTCTCTCTCTCTCTCTCTCTCTCTCCCACCCTCTCTCCTCTTGTATGTTCATTACTATATTAAAACTATTTGAAAGAATTTTATTTATATTGTACATATCATTGTGATTAATTCAATTATTAAAAAAGATCATCAAAAATGCATGTAAAGATGCTCTGTATTTTTATCTTAAATTCTGTTGTATGTCACAAGGAAGTCGGTCGAATATACGCCTATTTCCTTTATTTCTCACTATCTACATCATTTTTACAAAATTACTGACCTATTTCATGGTTGTTTTTTTCTTTTTTGTTTTAGATGCCCTGCTTGCGGATTTACAAAACTCAATTTCACCAGGGAGTAGGAGTGCTGGATATGGCTCGCTCAGGTCGAGGGGAGGCAGTGGCCAGCAAGACTACGCAACAGTCAATCCGGTCAAATCCACTTCTTTACGAAACACACCGACCTCAGTACGAAATATCTCTAATTATTTTCTGTTTGACAAATGAACAACATTGACAATAAATAAATAATATTAAGATAAAAAGTAAAAATGAATTTGATGTAGTGAGAGATTGCCCTATTTATTCTAATTTATTTCCTACTTGAAACAGCACAATTCTGCTTCTTTTTTTTAAATTTAAAACATTTCAGCTTTTAAATACCTTGTAATAAATTTAATGATAAAATTATCCGTGCTAATTTATTTTGAAATTATTTTTCCAGCCATCATCGTACCATGTTGAATCGACCGGAGGTGGTAAAATGGCAACATCTCTCAACAACAACCTGTCTGAGCTTGACACCCTTCTGGAAGATCTGAGCAGTTCGAGATACTCTTCTGAAAAACGAGGTGAGTTGTATTATTTTGTTATATCAGCACAAAAGTTGTTGAATTAACAAATTTTATTATTATTATTAGTTTATATTGCATTGTTATGGACTGATATAAATCAGGTACTGTAAATTGTGAGGCTCTTAATTTGTCATTGGATGAAGGAAATTATAAAAAATTAGAGCAAATAAGTTCATTGTAAGTGTTAATATTTTTTTCCATTTCATTGAAGGTATAGGTTAGAAACATTTTAAAATAAATATTTTTATCTCCCTACATATTTTGGTATATCATTCTATATTAGTTCTCCACAGAGAATATTTTGATAGTTCACTTTAATAATTGTCAATTGATTTAATATCAATTTTTGGTTTTGGCAGAGATTTTTAAGACAACAAAAATTAATATTTGTCCTCCTTATTATCTTAAACAACTGTTTAACTGTTCCAACAGTAATGCCAGACATGAAACCAATTAAAACAGTTTTCTTTCTTTTTCTTGTACCCTTTGTTGATTTATCTGCCATTTTATTTATTTATCTCAACCAAGACCTTACATAAAAAGAATAATTAATTGAAAGAAGTAACTTGTTCAATTGACCACTAAAACATAAATGGATTTTATTTATTATTTTTCTCATGTCCACTTCATATCTTTTTTACATGTTTTTTTCAATCCATTTTTCAAAGTTATCTCAATACTGAAATGCAATAATTGAAATTGTTATAAAGAAAATAGTACTTTATAAATTATTTATATTTCAAAATACAATAATCTTGCATATTGATGGAAAAATGCTGCTGGCATATTCAGATGTGTTTTATCTATTTGGGTTTTTTTAATAATGTCAATTATAACTTGAATTTCAGAAAATTCCCAAGGATATAAATTAAATTGTTTAAATCGAACTAATGTATAGTTCCCATTATTTGGAGAATAAGGTTTTGAAAAGGGGGAGATTTGGGAAGGTACAAAAATACCAGCATTGTGCGATTTCCAGCAGATCTGTTGTTTTTAATATAATGTTTAATTGTACTTAGTGGAATTATGAATGAAGCACAAGTTATATTCTACAAAATCTTTCAAAAAGAAAAGTTTTTAATTGATTCTGTGCGAATATAACTAATATTACGTGATGTTCATGAGTGAGGAAACATCCTTATTTGCAACTCCTGTCATTTTAATGTACATTGTGTTTACTTCACAAATTTTTAAATTATATATTTAACATAACAACCATTTCGTGACAATAGAGCAATCTTTTGAAAATTGTTAAGGATTCTGATTCAGTCATTTTACCACAGGAAATAGCATGATAGAAATTGAATGTATATAAATATTATAATTCGAAAATCACAAATAAATGTTTTTTATTTGTAGTATTATCTTCCAGGTTTGCATTTTTTTTCTTCAAAATTATGAACGTCTATTATTTTTCAAACTAGTACAACACAATTAAAAACTATGAGCATTTTTTATTTTGTTTAGGCGTCAGAGTGCAAAATCCGAATTAGATGAGACTTTTAATAAAAATTATTTAATTATGATGGATTGAAAGAAAATTCACCAAAATGCCAGAAAATCATTTAGGAATAGAATAACTTCAACTAACAATTTATTCTTAATTTTTCTAAATTATTATTTCAGGGCAATTTGAATTAGTTTATTACAATTTTTATCATGACTTACAGACAACATGCATAAAAATTTGCCTAGTCATTAGAAAGCTTCAAATTCTCGACTTTGTTATTAACAATTAATTAAGGTTTTTAGTTGAGATAAAAAGTCAATGGCACGAGCGGGATTCGAACCCATGACCTTCGGCTTGATACGCCGCTGCTCTACCACTTGAGCTATCGTGACATCGATCCACTCGGACACCAACTTCCCATCTCAACTGCACCTTTTGAATTTTCCCTTCTTTTTGCCATTTTCCCACTATTCACATTATAAAACCCTTAATTAACTGTAATATATTAATTGGTCAAGCGGACCACGAAATTAGTGAATTTTGTTATTAACCTCCAGGAAAATAGCAACTAAAATAGATAAAATATATTCTGCGCGTTATTTTAACTGTGAACCTTGTCTATTTAATATCAAACACTACACTTTAATGTAGTCTAAAAATAATTTATCGTTTGATAGGAAATGGCTTCCATGGAACTTTCTTTTGTACACTAATTTTAAAAAACTACACTACTACTACACTAATAATTAAAAATCTCTTAATCTTATTAGCAAATCATGCCCATCCTTTTATACAGCAGCTTCACAAAGTTGGTTTTGAAATGAAATATTTTAAATTGATCAATGTACTAATTTTACTAGTCGTTAATTTATTGGTATTGCGTCATTACTGCTTATAAACATTGTCAGCGTTAAAATTTCTTAAGAAATGTTATGTAACCCATTTGTAAATAAAAATTATTTATACGTTATTACATTAAATATTATAATGATGTTATCTTATATTTCGACCTCAACAGTTTAACTTACGATTTTTCCTTCTCAAAGGTGGGATAATAGGTCATCTCAAAAAAACAACAACCAGTTTTGAATTAAATATGCTCTTTTTTAAAATAAACTGTTACAAAATATTAATGACTGACAACCACTGCGTTAACTCACCTGAGGAAGGATTAAAATAAATCTGAAACGTTGTGGATTGAAAGAAAAATTATCCCACCTCCGAGAAGGAAAAATCATAAGTTAAATGTTATAATTTATGATGGGAATCTGGAAGTTCTAATTCTTTTATTATTTTTTTTATACTGTATATTTATTTATTTATTTTTTACAATTCATTTTCTTTATTTTTAGGCCCTGTTCAGATGAATGGAACTCTTGTTCATGCCACCCCGCCAAGGCAAAACTCAAGCCATCTAATAGAAGAATATAGAGCTCTAAATGGGTAAGTTTCTTGTTTAAAAAAAAATAAAAATTAAAAAAATTAAAAACATTCACTCACACACTGAATGACAAAAAGTTTTATTACTTGCTACTATGATATAATAGACCAGTTTCGCAGGGTAAAAATTTATTGATGTCATCATCTTCATACACCTTTTGGCTAATTGGGCTTAAGCAATTCTTTTGTTCTGTTGTTGGGAAGTAGATGAATATCAGTCTTAGCCCGGATGTGAAAATTGGCCCACCCATTCTTCGATAAATGCCCTATTGGATTGGCAAATTTCTTTATGGGTGGATCTGTCCAGTAATTGCACATACCAACCACATGTTGTCCGACAAAATCGTAATAACTATTTTCTTAGTTGCAATTCTTCTAAATTTTTTTTTCTATCGATAGATTTTGCAAGAAACACATCTATCACAACTAACAAACTGTTTTGGAAAAACTTTAAATACTATATATTAATAATTTGAATTAAATTCATATTTTCAAGAAAATTAGTGTTGGCTTTTCAATGATCTACTCATTCACTCCTATTATATTTATATAATTTTATTATATCTTCAAATTTCCGTTTAAGAAAACTAGCAATTTGTCTGGCAACGGCACAACGCTGTTTCCAATGTGTAATTTCTTTTGAACTTGGTACTGAATAAAACTTTAGTTTCATACTACACATCCTGAAAATACTAAGTAGCATTTAGCATAAAATATGCAAAGGAGCCATTAGGAATTTGTGAATACTGATTGGGCCCTATTTACAAAAAAGGTATTTTGCATTTCCCAAAGAGATTCAATATGAAATGAATATGGACACTTTTAAATATTCTTTGACATTTTCAATTTTCTCAAAGAATATACAATAATAACTATTATTCTTTATCTTATATATAGGGTATCAACTTATGTCATGTTGACTGTGATGACGTATGACATGTTCCTTGGTTTCTTAAGAATTGCTCAACCAAGAAGAAAATGTACAGGCATTTTTTAGCAGATTATACCGTGTGAATTTTATTGAAGACATAGCTTATTATTTTTACCCTGCCTATTTTATTGGAAGCTAAGCTACTTACTAAACTAACACAAATTAAACTTTTATTTTTTATCCAATTAAAGTTTTGATTTTCTCCTTTTTTTTAATCAGTTATGTATATTTAATGATAAATGATTAATTTAAATTATTGAGTTCTGAAGAAAAACTTCAATATCCAGAGCAAATCGATGAACATTTGTTTTCCAGGATTGGTTCTTTAGAAAGGAAATGACTTTCAAACTGCGTGAAAAAATAGGGCATTACATTTTTTTTAAAGTTGACCATCAGGTCAGTTTAATGCGTCAACTTGTTCAAATTCTAATAGGACTAGCAGATTTTTAGTTTTACAATAAAATAGGTAGCTTAAAAATAAAAGGCCATGTCTTGAAACTCACATAGTATAAAATCGCTTTTATTAGTGAAGTAATAGCATACCCCAATTAGCCTATTATGTAATGATATCTACATCGTGGTCAAGTCAGTTGTTTTTTTTTTTTAGTCCAGAAACTGAGAGAACTCAAAAGAAACGTTAAGAGTTCTAGACTCCCTCCCAAAAAAAGTTACTCTATTAAAGTAGTGGTACCTACATTGTGGCCTACCTTACTTCACTCCTACTTTTATGAACATCACCGTTCTTTTATTTCTATTGCTTAATATTTGGCCATTTTCTGAATAAAATGTCCGGTCATCAATGTCCCATATGACTTCCTCAATAGTGCCAATGGATTCGTTGATGAGGCCCAAGCTTGAAGGCTTCTGAAGAATTTTGAAATGAGACTACCCCTCCTTCCCTAAAACCACTAATTGTGAGGAAATTGGAATTTTCAGATGTTTACCTTTTTACAATATAAGACCTAACTTTGTACCAAAGTTCATGTTTCTACCTATAATGATGTTTATTTATCAACAAAAAAAATGTATACAAAACAAAGTAAATTAACATTATACACCATGGTAATACTATCTGTTTCTGCCTATATGGTTAATGCCTTATAATTTTGATGGTGAGACTACACTCTTCCCCCTAAAGCAGCACTAATTTTGAGAAAATTAACATTTTCAGGTCTTTTTCTTTACTTGCCATATAAATTCTACCTTTTTACCAAATTTCATGTTTCTAGCTATTCAGAAAGTACCGTATCATTTTGATGATTAGTTAGTAAGTCAGTAACAAAAATGCAAATTTTAGAATTCTCCCCTTTTGAAAAGACTTAATATCAAGTGATCAAATTTTTACCATGTCCTAAACGATCTAAGTTTAATTTATGTTTCAAATTTCAAAAGTCCATCTTAAGAGGAAGCCGAGATATGAAGGTGAGAAAAATAGGGCGCATTGGTTCCAGTAACGAGATACGTGGCAGCTTGCTGGAACTGGGCCAGTTCACTATTGGGCACTTTTACTTACTTACTTTTACCTTTTTTGTAGTATTGAATCATTTTCCTACAGCTTCAACTTAGTTCATTAGCTATGGTATCAGCCCTGTATGAATACTATGTCATCGGCAAAGAGAGTCAATTTCAACTTTGCCTGCTTATTATTCTACTATAATCAATTTAAAAATAGTAGGTATGAGAACCGAGCCTTGCAAACACCAGCTGGGAGTAACCAACTCTATGCTAAAACATTCATAACTATGCTAAAATTGGCATTTTTATTTTTACTGTTAAAATAAACATTTACAATTTTTTTTCTCAAAAATCACATCGTTACATTAGAACTTGTGAGAGTCCATGAAGAAATAATCACAGATACTAAAGGACATTAATAATAAATCCAACAAAAATATAAATAAACTAACAACTAATATCTACTCAATTATTTTTAATTTAGGATTATGTTAAGATAACTAGAAACTTTATCAGTTAATAGCATATTCCAAGAAAATACCAAGAATCAAGAAAACTTTATTCATGGAAGTATATATTGTATTTATGTTTATATAAACTTGCATTTTACTCATTTTTCACCTATAAATTTGTCTATGGACAACATAAACTTTTGCCTGTGTTTACACAGTAAAAATATAACCATTTGACAAGCAATTAATTAATGAAATTCTGATACAATAATCAATTATGAGTTAGAAAAAAAAGTCAGTGAGGTTAGACTTTTTCTTTGACCTATGTTTAATGAGTTAATAACCTTTTTATACCATGTTTGTTTACATGCCACTGGTTCTCTTGAAATCACCATAATTATGATTATTAGTTGTAGCTAATAATCATAACTTACTATTTCCTCTACTTCTTCCTACATCAAGTACACATTGAAAGAGAATTTTTTTTATCACCTGTGCCGTATCAATTGTCAGTGATTTATAAAATTTTAGAAGTACATTACAAAAAGATCTTTCTGTTTCTATAAAGCAGATAAAAACAATATTTTTGACATGTCCTTTTAAGAAAACTGTTAAACAAATAAGCATACTTTGAACAATGTCTGTAGTCATCAGAGAGCTCTATTTAACCAATTAGCATGGCATTCTGAATTGTTAAACATAAATCCTTTTAAACTATTATTTATTTGATTATCTTAGTTGCATAAATTTTGAAATTTAATTTTTCTTCGAACCAACCGGCAGGAATTTTGTCACAAACACAAGTCACATACTTCATACTCGCATTTTGGCGATAGTTACATCTAATAAACATAATTATGGTAATTTCAAGAGAACGAGTGGCATGTAAACAAACATGGTGTAAAAAGGTTATTATCTCATTAAACATAGGACAAAGAAAAAGTCCAACCTCGCTGTCTTTTTAATTATTTCTAACTCATAATTGATTACTGTATTAGACTTTCATTAATTACTTAATTGTTAGTCAAATGTTATATGTTTAGTGTATAAACCCAGGCAAAAGTTTATGTTGTCCATAGACAAATTTATAGGTGAGAAATGAGTAAAATGCAAGTTTATACACACATAAATACATATAAAATGTGATTTTTTTTAGAAAAATATTGTAAAGATTTATTTTAACCGTAAAAATATAAAAGCCGATTTTAGCATTAATGAGTTGGTTACTCCCAGCTGGTGTTTTGCAAGGCTCAGTTCTCATACCTACTATTTTTAAATTGATCATAGTAGATATAATAAGCAGATAAAGTTGAAATTGACTCTCTTTGCCAGCGACATAGCATTCATACAGGACTGAGCTAATGAACTAAGTGAAGTTGAAGAAAAAGGATTCAAATATTATAAAAATGTAAAAATTGCCCCCTCCCAAAAAAAAAATAAAAAATAAAATAAAACATATAAAAAAACTTTTAAAAAAAATAATAATAATAAATAAAAGAAAAGAAAGTTAGTAAAATCGCACGGTAGTGTACTGGCTAAGTTCCTGCAAGCTGCGTTACTGGAACCAATGCGCCCTATTTTTCTCACCTTCATATCTCTGCTTCCTCTTAAGATGGACTTTTGAAATTTGAAACATAAATTAAGCTTACATCATTTAGGACATTATAAAAATTTGATCACTTGATATTAAGCCTTTTCAAAAGGGGAGAATTCTAAAATTTGCATTTTTGTTACTGACTTACTGACTAATCATCAAAATGCTTTGGTACTTTCTGAATAGCTAGAAACATGAAATTTGGTAAAAAGGTAGGATTTATATGGCAAGTAAAGAAAAAGACCTGAAAATGTTAATTTTCTCAAAATTAGTGCTGCTTTAGGGGGAAGAGTGGAGTCTCGCCATCAAAATTATAAGGCACTTCCCATATAGGCAGAAACAGATAGTATTTACCATGGTGTATAATGTTAATTTACTTTGTTTTGTAGACATTAGAAATATGAAATTTGGTACAAATTCACTAGTTTTCGTGGTCCACTTGACCAATTAATATCTTTCAATTAATTAAGGGTTTTAGTTGAGATAACGCTCGTGACGCTGACTTTTTCATCTCAACTAAAAACCTTAATTAATTGAAAGATTTGGTACAAAGTTAGGTTATATATTGTAA